TGGGTCTTGAACCCGCGGGCTCAGGCAATCCACTCACCTCAGCCTCCCAAAGGCGCGGGATTACAGGCTGAGCCACCGAGTCTGGCTTATATCCATCTTGTTTTAGGGTCTCCTGTGTCACCGAGGCTGGAGTGTAATGGCACAATTACAGCTCATGGCAGCCTCAACCTACTGGGCTTAGGCAATCCTTCTGCCTCAGCCTCCTGAGTAGCTGGGACTACAGGTGTGTGCCAGCCACACTGGAAAGCTGATTTTTTCTATTTTTTGTAGAGACACAGTCTTGCTATGTTGCCCAGGCTGGTCTCAAACTCCTGGGCTCAAGCAATCCTCTTGCTTTGGTTCCCAGAGTGCTGGGATTATAGACATGAGCCACTGCACCTGACCAAGATGAAAATTTTTTTTATTTGGTGTCTCACTCTGCTGCCCAGGCTGGAGTGCAATAGCACACTTATGGCCATGCAGCCTCTACCTGCTGGGATCCAGCGATACTTCTGCATCAGCCTTCCAAATAGCTAAAACTACAGCCATGTGCTACCATACCTGGACAATTTTTTTTTTTTTTTGAGTTGGAGTCTTACTCTGTTGCCCAGGCTGGAGTGCCATGGTACACTCATGGCTATCCCGGCATCGACCTGCTGGGCTCCATTGATCTTTCTACCTCAGCCTTCCAAGTAGGCAGAATTACAGGCGTGCGGTAGTACTCCTGGCTAATTTTTGATTTATTGTAGAGACGGGGTCTCGCCAAGTTGCCCAGGTTGGTCTCGAACCCACAGTCTCAGGCAGTCCCCTCGCCTTGGCCTCTCAAAATGCTGGCATTACAGGCTGAGCCACTGAGCCCGGCCCAATTTTTTTGTTTATTGAAGAAACGAGGTCTCACCAAGTTGTCCAGGCTGGTCTCGAATCCCTGGGCTCAGGCAATCAATCCTCTCTCCTCGGCCGCCCAAAATGCTGGGATTATAGACTTGAGCCACCGTGCCCAGCCCAAGATGAAATATTTTAAACTTTATGTTGTTGTTTTATCATTCACTGAATTGTCTTTCTTACTTTTTATTTTTTATTTTTTGAGTTGGAGTCTCACTCTGTCACCCAGGCTGGAGTGCAGTGGCACACTCATGGCCACCCCAATGTCAACCTGTTGGGCGCTGGCAATCCTTCCACTTCAGCCTTCTAAGTAGCCGGAACTGCAGGCGTGCATTACCACACCTGGCTAATTTTAGATTTATTGTAGAGATGAGATCTTGCCAGGTTTCCTGGGCTGGTCTCGAATCCACAGGCTCAGGCAACCCACTCGCCTCAGCCTGCCAAAGTACTGGGATGACAGGCTGAGCCACCGAGTCCGGCCTGAATTGTCTTTTAAACATCTTTTTTTCCTTTTAGAATTGGCGTCTGTAGATTTTCTCACCTCCACTTGGGAAGGTCATGGAAGATCTAGAGGAAACACTATTTGAAGAATTTGAGAACTACTCCTATGTCCTGGAATATTCCTCTCCAGAGTTGGACTCAGAGGACAAAGCCCACCTGGGAGCTGTCCAGTGGGTCTCCCTGGTGTTGTACTGCTTAGTGTTTGTCCTGGGAATTCCAGGAAATGCTACTGTCATCTGGTTCACGGGATTCAAGTGGAAAAAGACAGTAACCACACTCTGGTTCCTCAACCTGGCCATTGCAGATTTCGTTTTCGTCCTCTTTCTGCCCCTGTACATCTCCTATGTGGCCATGGGTTTCCACTGGCCCTTTGGCGTCTGGCTGTGCAAGGCCAATTCCTTTGTTGCCCAGCTGAACATGTTCGCCAGCATCTTCTTCCTGACAGTGATCAGCCTGGACCACTACATCCACTTGATCCACCCCATCTTGTCGCAAAGGCATCGAACCCTAAAGAACTCCCTGATTGTTACCATGTTCATCTGGCTCTTGGCTTCTCTCATTGGGGGTCCTGCCCTCTACTTCCGGGACACTGTGGAGTTCAACAACCACACTCTTTGCTTTAACAATTTCCATGAGCATGATCCTGACCTCACCTTGATAAGGCACCATGTTCTAACCTGGGTAAAATTTATCATTGGGTATCTCTTTCCTTTGCTGACAATGAGCGTTTGCTACTTGTGTCTCGTGTTCAAGGTGAAAAAGCGCAGCCTCCTGGCTTCCAGCAGGCACTTCTGGACAGTCCTAGCTGTGGTAGTGGCCTTCCTGGTTTGCTGGACCCCTTACCACCTGTTCAGCATTTGGGAACTCTCCATTCACCATGGTAGCCATTTCCAGCAGGTGCTGCAGGCTGGGATCCCCCTCTCCTCAGCCTTGGCCTTCCTCAACAGCTGCCTGAACCCCATCCTGTATGTCCTGATCAGTCGGAAGTTCCAAGCGCACTTCCGGGCCTCGGTGGCTGAGATCCTGAAGCACACGCTGTGGGAGGTCAGCTGCTCTGGCCCAGTCAGTGAGCAGCTCAGGGTCTCGGAGACCAAGAGCCTGGACCTCCTGGAAACAGCTTCTTGAACTGTGGCTTTTCCACAAACCAGTGTCAGGCCTTTGTGGGGGTCCTCTAGCAGATGCATGCATATTGAACTTGGTTCCAGGATGTAGAGCTAACTTTGTTTTGTTATTGTTTTCATTTGGTTTTGGTTAGTGTATTGGCATTACATTTTTTTTTCCTGAGTTGGAGTCTCACTCCGTTGCTCAGGCTGGAGTGCAGTGGCATGCTCACGGCCACCCCAGGGTTGGCCTGCTGGGTTCAGGCAATCCCTCTGCCTCAGCCTTCCAAGTAGCTGGAACTACAGGTGCACTCTACCAAGCCTGGCTAAGGCATTATATTTTTGTGTACACAAAACTTAGGAAGGATTTGCAAAATGTTCTTTCCTGCAACGTAAGTAATCTGTGTCATTCTTACCAATTACACCATGGTGGATTAATCACCACTGTTTTTTTTTTTTTGAGTTGGAGTCTCACTCTGGCACCCAGACTGGAGTGCAGTGGCCGCTCCCAGCCACCACAGCCTCGACCTGCTGGGCTCCGGTGATCCTTCCACCCCAGCCTTCCAAGTAGCTGGAATTACAGGCGCGTGCTACCACGCCCGGCTCATTTTTGATTTATTGTAGAGATGAGGTCTTGAACCCGCGGGCTCAGGCAATCCACTCACCTCAGCCTCCCAAAGGCGCCGGGATTACAGGCTGAGCCACCGAGTCCGGCTTAATCACCACTGTTGAAGCAATAGCAGCTATTTAAAAAAAAAAACTTTTAACCTTTTAAAAGCCCTAAATTTTAATATTAAATATATGACTAGGCTGGGCACAGTGGCTCACACCTGTAATCCCAGCACTTTCAAGGTAGAAGCGAAAGGATTGCCTCAGCCCAGGGGTTTGAGACCACGTTGGGCAACTTGGCAAGACAATAAATCAAAAAATTTGCCAGATGTGTTGGTGCACACCTGTGGTTCCAGCTACTTGGAAGGCTGAGGTAGAAGGATCACCTGAGCCCAATAGGTCGAGGCTGCAGTGGTGGTGAGCGTGCCACTGCACTCCAGCCTGGGTGACAGTGAGACTCCGACTTAATAAATACACAAACAAACAAAAGAACAAAAAACTATATGACTAGCTAATTTCAAAAATGTTGTTTTGCTTAAATTCATTTTAGTTTTGCACAAGTGATCTAGACATATTCTTGAAATGCAACGTGTTAATTTATTTTACATAATCTCTGTATATGCATTTATGAATTAAAGTAACAGCTGGTTATCTTAGTTTAAAACATGTTCCAGTTAACTGTTGTTTTGTTTTGTTTTGTTTTGTTTTTGAGTTGGAGGCTCGCTCTGTCACCCAGACTGGAGTGGAGTGGCATACTTCCGGCCACCGCAGCCTCAACCAGCTGGGCTTCCTTCCACCTCAGCCTTCCAAGTAGCCAGAACTACAGGCGTGTGCTACCATGCCCAGCTAATTTTTTGATTTATTGTAGAGACGAGGTCTCACCAAGTTGCCCAGGCTGGTCTCGAACCCATGGGGTCATACAATCCTCTCACCTCGGCCTCCCAAGGTGCTGGTATTATAGGCTTGAGCCACTGCACCTGGGTGGACTGTTGTTTAATAAACTGTCCCAAAACTTCGTTGCTTAAAACAGTTGTTTAGGCTGGCATGGTGGCTCAAGCCTGTAATCCCAGCACTTTGGGAGGCTGAGGCAATAGTATTGTCTGAGTTCAGACATTCGAGACTAGCCCGGGTGACTTTGTGAGACCTCAACTCTAGAATAAATCAAAAAATTAGCTGAGGGTAATGGTGCACTTTTGTAGTTCTAGCTACTTGGAATGCTGAGGTGGAAGGATCGCCTGAGCCCAGCAGGTTGAGACTGCAGTGGCTGTGAGTGTGCCACTGCACACCAGCCTGGGCGACAGAGTGAGACTTCAACTAAAAAACAAAAATCAAAAAACAAAAAACAGTAGTTTATTTGTGATATAATTTTCAATCCTGAGTGTTAGGAATTCAGAAGCATACGAGAGTGGCTCGTGTATGCTTTGCGACATCCCAGAGTGCTGGGATTGCAAGTGTGAGTCACTGCACTTGGCTATGTGGATTTTTTTCTTTTAGCATTTCCAGAATCTTCAGGCTCTTTGGTTCTCCACAAAGTGAAATGCTGCCCTCTGCTGGCTCTCACGATACTGACAACCTGAAAATGTCCGCCCCCATCTTACTCAATATAGTCAATATCTGATTACATCAATTCTCTTTATAGTCTCCCACATTCAAGGTATTCAACATGTGGCTCGGTAAGGTGGTTCATACCTGCAACCCCATTAGAGGCTGATGACCTAATTGCAGACAAATACTGCCACGTCCCCCGAGCAGGGCTAGTTGGCTCTCATATCTTTTTTTTTTTTGAGTTGGAGTCTCACTCTGTCACCCAGACTGGAGTGCAGTGGCCAGGAGTGGCCACTGCAGCCTCGACCTGCTGGGCTCCGGCGATCCTTCCACCTCAGTCTTCCAAGTAGCTGGAACTACAGGTGCGTACTACCACGCCCAGCTAATTTTTGATTTGTTGTAGAGATGAGGTCTCACCAAGTTGCCCAGGCGGGTCTCGAACCCTCGGGCTCAGGCAATCCACTCACCTCAGCCTCCCAAAGGCGTGGGATTACAGGCTGAGCCACCGAGCCTGGCTTGAAATGGTTTTCATTCCCAACAGTTTTATGTGTGATTGAGCTGCCACCCTGTAAGAATTTTCTTAGCTCTTATTTCATGTTTTTTCCTTATGGGGCAATTAGAGAAAAGAAGAGATGGCATGCTCCTTGTTTTCAGCTTCCTTCAACTGCAGAGTCAGAAACAGATAACAAAACAAAACAAAACAAAAAACCTGTTTGTATGCTTGCTATGCCTTCTGCGGCCATTAGTTTAGAAAATGTTCATTGTATTGGCTTACATGCAGATAGGCATCGGGGTGACAGCAAAACATTAAAGACAATAAATGTCCACTCAACAGGAGACTGGTCCAATAAGACAGAAGACGATGAATCATTTGTTAATAAATGAGGATGCTCTCAATGGACTGATATGGAGTATGCCAGGCATAACCTCCACGGTATCCAAGCCCATTCCTGTAAGCAAACATCAAATGCAGAGTGTATGTGGTGACAACTGTCTATGCATTCACTTGAGGTAGCTCTGGGAAGACCTGAGAACCCAGTAATGCCGGTTGCTTCCATGGGGTGACCTGGAGGCCCAAGGGACAGAAGAGACTTCACTGTATACCCTCCTGAGTTCTCAATTGTCTTGATGTATTTTCCATTTTTAAAAATTGGAAATTAAAGATACCAAGAAAACGTTTTCTATTCAAGGCTGTGAAGTCAGGATTCCAAAACTGCAAAACTGTTTCATCACTGTAAGGTTTGAGACATTCTAAGGGTTTTTTTTTTTTTTTGAGTTGGAGTCTCATTCTGTCACCCAGACTGGAGTGCAGTGGCCGCTCCCGGCCACCGCAGCCTCGACCTGCTGGGCTCCGGCGATTCTTCCGCCTCAGCCTTCCACATAGCTGGAACTACAGGCACGCACTACCACGCCCAGCTAATTTTTGATTTATTGTAGAGATGAGGTCTCACCAAGTTGCCCAGGCAGGTCTCGAACCCGTGGGCTCAGGCAATCCACTTACCTCAGCCTCCCAAAGGTGCGGGATTACAGGCTGAGCCACCGAGCCCGGCTTGATTCTAAGGTTTTGACAACCTTTTTTTGGTTTTTGAGTTGGAGTCTCACCCTGTTGCCCAGGCTAGAGTACAGTGGCATGCTCATGGCCACCACAGCATCAACCTGCTGGGCTCTGGCGATCCTTTCACCTCAGCTTTCCAGGTGGCTAGAACTACAGGTGTGTGCTACCATGCCCAACTAATTTTTTTGTTTACTGTAGAGACAAGGTCTTGCCAAGTTGCCCAGGCAGGTCTCAAACCCACGGGCTCAGCCAATCCACTCACCTGGGCCTCCCAAAGTGGTGGGATTACAGGCTGAGCTACCAAGCTCGGACAACTTTTTTTTTTTGACTTGGAGTCTCACTCGGCTGGAGTGCAATGGAACACTCATGGCCACCACAGCCTCGACCTACTGGGCTCAGGCTATCGTTCCACCTCAGCCTTCCAAGTAGCTGGAACTACAGGCACATGCTACTACACCCAGCTAATTTTGATTTATTGTAGATACGAGATCTCACCAAGTTGCCCAGGTTGGTCTTGAACCCTGAGCTCAGGCAATCCTCTCACCTCAACCTTCCAAAGTGCTGGAATTACAGGTTTGAACCACCGCACCCAACTGTTTTGACAACCTTTTAATCAAATGATTATATCTGAAACTGAATCCCCTGAAAGTGTCAGTGATTGTTAATTTTCTTTAGCCTTATCCTATACCAAAAAGTGTGAATTGTTTTATTACAATTCACTAGTTATGACATCTCTACCTCTTCACAGCAGTAAACTTGTTATTCATGTGAGTTTCTTTTCAGTGAGAGTCTCACTGTCACCGAGTTTGGAGTGCAGTGGCACACACGGCCACCTCAGCCTCAAGTTGCTGGGCTCACGTGATCCTTTTGCTTCAGCCTTCCAAAGTAGCTGGAACCACAGGCATGTCCCACCATGTCCAGGTAATTTATTTATTGTAGAGGCGAAGTCTCACCATGTTGCTCAGGCTGGTCTTGAACTCCTGAGATCAAGCAATGCTCTCACCTCCACCTCCCAGAATGCTGGGATTGCAAGTGAGTCACTGTACTTGGCTATGTGGGTTTTTTTCTTTTAGCATTTCCAGAACCTTCAGGCTCTTTGGTACTCCACAAAGTGAAATGCTGCCCTCTGCTGGCTCTCACGATACTAACAACCTGAAAATGTCCCCTCTCATCTTAATACAGTCAATATCTGATTAAATCAATTCTCTTTATTTTTCTGAGTTGGAGTTTCACTCCGTCGCTCAGACTGGAATGCAGTGGCCGCTCCCTGGCCACCGCAGCCTCGACCCGCTGGGCTCCGGTGATCCTTCCACCTTAGCCTTCTGAGTAGCCGGAATTACAGGCCCACGCTACCACGCCCGGCTCATTTTTGTTTTATTGTAGAGATGAGGTCTTGCCAAGTTGCCCAGGCGGGTCTCGAACCCGTGGGCTCTGGCAATCCACTCACCTCAGCCTCCCAAAGGCATGGGATTACAGGCTGAGCCACCGAGCCCAGCTCAATTT